AAATAATAATTAAAGGAATATATTAAATAAATAAAATCCAACTAGTAAATAAACCCTCAACACAATAAATAAAATAGACAAGAAAATTTAAAACTCTAACCTCATGCATTCTAATTCTTTTAGGGTACCCACATGGCTCTAGAGGGGTGGGTTTACTAAATTCTCTACATGAAGTTTGGTTCTAAAAAGGGTTCCCAAACTTCTCTAACTACATGCTAAGGTAAGTAAGGACTTCGATCCTGTCCTATTACAGACTTTTGAGATCAAATTCAGTCCAGGGAATCACCTGACAGACATAAAGAATGCTTTCGAGAGGTACTCTGCCAGGACTACATAAGGAAAAATAGTATTCCTTGGCGGTGTGGCGTTTCCCACTACTTAGGTTAAACGAGACAAAGCTTGGGTATAGAGCTATGATTGCAATAGTCATATTTTTACTCAAATAATTGAAAGCATGAACCAGAGAGAACATCTTTGCCAATTTTCTAAAATAACATAGTGAATCATGAATTAAATAAACTTGAACTCAAAAATTTTAAACATTTGAAATATAGGGTAATCGATTTGTGGCTCTCTCTTTTTGTTAAAAAATATCCTTAGTGAAGTCACCGAGTTGTCATAACCGATTTTCGGTAGGAAGATTAATCCGACATTTTTGGAAAACAAAAATCTTATGAAAAGATAAGAGTCACCATCAATCATTTTTAAGGTGAGATTGGAACACCTAAAATCAAGTAATTTTAATAAAAAAATTTATTTGACTAAAAATACCAAGTTTTGGTCTGCGAAATCAGAAATCAGGTTCAGGAATCAGTTACGCATGGGGAAAGATTAACACATCCACAACGCCCAAAATTGGAACCTAGTCAATTACCCTATATTTTAAAATTGCAAATTTTAGTTCAAAATATTATCTAATTTAAAATCCCCTATGTATACATATTTATTAAAAAATGATGTCAATCTACCAAGACTAATAACAACCACCCCCAAGCAAAAGCGGAAACTTCGTTATCAACCACAATAAATGGACATTGCCTTAATAATTTAGAAATCATGAGGTGGGGTTTTGAAAAGGATGTTGATTTACTTCGAGCATCAATAGTGGTCACCCCCAGGAAAAAGAGAGAGATGCACTTTTAACCCCCTAATAAATGAACATTGCCTTATTTTAAAAGCAAAATACAATCAAACAATCGATTATGGAATCTAATTATACTAAATGAATTAATTAAGACTTCCATATAAATTAAAGTATCAAATTATGAAGTCTAGAGAACCTACAAGAGTAGATTTAAAATCTAGGCTCTAATATTAATCCAAGTCAATTTTAATCAATTATTTGATTTGAATAATTAAAATGGAACCTCAAGAAAAAATGAAGACCAAATTAAAAATTTCCCTAACTTTAAGGACTGAGTTTGAAATTAAGCCTAAAATGGAGGCTTTAATTGTTAACCTGATCAATTTTAACCAATTATGTGAATCAAATAATTAAAATGGAACCTCGAGCAAAAATGAAGATAAAATTAAAAATTCCCCTAAATTTAAGGACTAAGTTTGAAATTAAGTCTAAAATGGAGGCTCTAATTGTTAAACTAGTCAATTTTAACCAATTATTTGATTCGAATAATTAAAATGGAACCTCGAGCAAAAGCGACGACCAAACTAAAAATTCCCATAAATTTAAGGACTAAGTTTAAAATTAAGCCTAAAGTAGAGGTTTTAATTGTTAACCTAGTCAATTTTAACCAATTCTTTGATTCGAATAATTAAAATGGAATTTCGAGCAAAATTGAAGACCAAATTGAAAAATCCCTTAAATTTAAGGACTAAGTATGAAATTAAGCCTAAAATGGAGGCTCTAATTGTTAACCTAATCAATTTTAACCAATTATTTGATTCGAATAATTAAAATAGAACCTCCACCAAAAGCGAGAACCAAATTAAAATTCCTCTAAATTTAAAGAGTAAGTTTGAAATTAAACCTAAAATGGAGGCTTTAATTATTAACCTAGTCAATTTTAATCAATCATTGAATATTCGAATAATTAACATTTTTTTAGACTAAATCAAAAGACATCTAAATTTAGAGAGTAAATTCAAAGAGAAGGTAACCTAAATGTTATAAGTCTAAATCTAAGGGTTTAATCTAAAACCTAAAGAAGCTATCAATTACTAAATTAAACTCAATTAAAGTTGGCAAGCAAAAATTAATGGCAATTAACATACACAAAATGGCTAAACTAAAATAAATAAGAGATGCATAGGCATAATCAAAGAACAAATATAATGACTAAATTGGAATAAAACAGGATATAAACTCCAAACAATAAGAAATTAAAATTAGGAATAAAAGGACTAAAATGTAAAAATTGATAATTTAAGGCAAAATTGAAATAACAAAAATTTAAATAGAAAAAAATTAAATAACAAAAATTAAATCAATCAAATAAAATTACGAGTTAGGGGTATTTTTAGTTGTTACCTAGACAAAAAATAACACGAATCATACCCCATGGCAGGTCATTGCGAAGTTTTAAAAGGATTTAAATATATTTTATATAAGTTAGATGTTAGAAGTTAGTAAATTAGCGGTTAAATTAGAATTTTACTCGAACCATGAATAATATGGATTATACCCCAGGGCGGGTCACCACAAGGTTGTATTAGTGTTTAATATTAATATTTTAATTAGTAGGGACTAATATGAAATAAAATAAAAAAAGTAGCCAATCATAAATAAGTAGTAACTAAAATGAATAAATTGTAACTACCATATAAAATTCATAAATAAAATAACAAAACAGAACCAATCAATGACTTAAATAATATAAAGATTAGTATATAATCTAAGATAAATTACAATAACAAAATGGTGACTAAATTAAAATAAATGCAAACAGGATGTCAAAATCAGAATAAATGAACCAAACGGGACCCCGGTGACTAAAATGTAAATTACGGCAAACTCAAGAGGACTTAAATGGTGGTTTTTCCAAAACCATGTCTATATAACTTATGTTTAGCCATTTTGGCTAAAATTTTAACCTAGCCTGAAATGGACTTTTCCTCTTTCTTTTTTCTCTCAACAAAACACCCCCTCTCTTCTATGGTCGGCCAAGAAACCCAAAGAGTCTCAAGCCACCGCTGGCCACCATGCTTTGGTGCCACCTCGCTCTGACCACCGCTCACTCCGACCGAGGGCAGCCCAAATCGAAAAACCAAAGCACCAAACAAAAGCCTCCACTAGCCCATTTCATCTACCTTCGACCGAGAGCCCAAAAATTCCTAAACCGTCACGATTCAGCCATGAACGCTCTCTGACCACCACCATCGGTGGTCGGGTTCTAAACCTAAGCCCAAAGAACTCCAAAATACCCCTCTTACAAATACCTAAAGCCTCGACTTGGGGCCAAAACGTTTAGCAACCAAGACCCAAACTCCCCCCGACACTTCGGCTCCCTAAACACGACGAATCCTCCGGCTCCGACAAGGATCGCGAACGACGAAAGGTAACCTCTCCACTTTCACTCCTTTCCTCTGTTTTGTTTTTCAAAACTCGCATGCACACACAAAATAAGTAAAACCAAAGAAGAAGAAACCAATGAATACTTTTCAAAAAGAAAGGTTTTGCCTCTGTTTTTGCTTTTTTGATTTCTTGTAGGTAACTCTTACAATGGTTTTTTTGTTGGGTTTTATATCACCTGTTTTAAAAGTGTAAAACCGAAAAAAAATCATATTCTTTTGTCCTTTTTTCTTGCATGGTTGATTTGGATGTTTTATTGATGATGCCATGGCCGAGGGATCACCATCGGGATGGCGTGCCTAGCTGTGGAGGTTTGATTCGGTGCTTGGGACCACTATTGGTCATTGTGGCTGCTGACGAGGGCTACGGTGCTATGCTGAGGTGGAGGGGAGCAGAAACAACAACCCATGAAAAATACCCTTTAATATAGGGTTAATTGTGGATCGTTGGATCACTTGTAAATCAACGGTCGCTGGTTGTGACGGTTGAAGTGTTACTTAGGGTTTCAAAACCCTAATCTTTGTTTGAATTAGACCGAACGGGCTTCATTGGTGTTGGGCCAGCAAGTTGAATTTTGGATTTGGGGTTTGGATTATATTTGGGCTGTGTTGTGTATGGGTTTTTTATGTATATGTTTTGGTTTTTATTTTGAATGGATATTGGGTTTAATATATATATTTGAAGTAATGGTAACGGTAACGGTAATAGTAATAAAAATGGTGATTACAAATATGTTGCATTTCAACAATTGTACATCAATAATGTTTCATATAGTATTAATATTCTTTTATGTAATATCAATACTTGTATGTTTGATATTGATATCAGTTTTAAAAAATATATTTTCTTTTACTCAGAATGTGAATTTGACATCAATACTCTCATTCATTGTCGATATGTCATTTGCAGAATCGATACTACCTTGTCTTGGAAGATTTTACTATTCACTCAAAATCGAAAATCAATATCAATGTCATACTAAGGGTATTGATACTATCCCCTAAATATCAATACCTCATACAAGAGTTGGAATTCATCTTTTTTACTCAACTCGAATTGACATTGAGTTGTAATTTTATAAATTCGACTCGAAATTTTTTTAAATTCGAGTCGACTAATAAAATAAAAATTGATCAAGTCGAATAGTAACTTGAATGACTTGATTTAAATAGAAAGTCAAATAATTCAACTGATATCGACTTGAATTTTATAAACTAAATTTGAAAAATTTTCAAATGAATAACTTAAAGGTTTTTTACTCGACTCAACTGAACGCGCATCTCTTGATACATTTATGTTGTCAATTTGATTAGAGAGTTTGTGCATCCATCCAAATGGAGATTTTATCCGATTCCTATGGTTAATGGAAATGGATAAGAATTGAATGAATTGAAGAAAGCTTACTTGTGGGTCATGCCGGTATGTATGATGACTTTAACAATTAATCACCTTCTGGATATTCATTCAAAATATCAACAAAAATCCTGAATTCTCGTCTAGTTTCTTATCTAGTTTCACCACAACATCAATGGCAGAAGCAACAAACAGGTACTACTTTCTTTTCCTTGGCATACAAGCCGCATCTATTGAGTTTCCAATTCTTCGAACCATTTTCGTTCGATTTTCTTCTCAGGTATGCAGTGGTCACCGGTGCAAACAAGGGAATCGGATTTGAAATATGTAAACAGCTTGCTTCTAAAGGAATCACGGTTGTTTTAACTGCCAGATATGAGATGCGGGGTCTTGCAGCTGTTGAAAACCTCAAAGAGCTCGGTCTGTCGGACAACGTAGTCTTCCATCAGCTTGATGTTGCAGACCCTGCTAGTGTTGCTTCTCTGGTCGAATTCATTGAAACACGATTCAGGAAGCTCGATATCTTGGTATCATTTCTTTTTCTAGTTCAAGTCATCCCCATTTCATATGTTGGTTGATTGATGAGAGTGTTGTCACTCACTTGTGCAGGTGAATAATGCAGGGATTGGAGGCGTCAAAGCCGAAGTTCAAGCTCTTCAAGCTGCAGGTTTTGGTAAGGTAGTCTCCTCTGAATCCACTCGGTTTCCATAGAACACAGTAAATAATCATCTGTTCAATAGCATCCAATAGCAGGTTAGCCTTTTCAGAATTTGACTTCACTGAATGTTTGATATAACAATGCAGCCCGGTGTGCAATTGAACTGGGGTAGTCTACTGACTCAAACACCAGAGTTAGCCGAGCAATGCCTTCAAACAAACTATTACGGTACGAAAAGAATGTGCGAATCGCTTATTCACCTTCTCCGGCGATCAGATTCACCGAGAATCGTAAATGTTTCTTCTTCCATGGGGAAGTTAAAGGTAAGAATATGATAAAGAACAAGATACATAAGTATACTATAATGATCAAACGTTAGTTTATTTTCTTGTTGGGATCAGAATGTACCGAACGAATCGGTGAATGCAGTCTTAGGGGACGTTAAAAATCGTACGGAAGAGGAAGTGGATGAGGTTTTGAGGCAGTATATGAAAGATTTCAAGGAGGGTTCATTGGAAGAAAAGGGTTGGCCTGCTTTCATGTCAGCCTACATACTATCTAAAGCTGCCATGAATGCCTACACAAGGATCTTGGCTGCCAAATTTCCTGATATTATGATTAACTGTGTGTGTCCAGGCTTTGTGAAAACGGACTTAAACTACAATGCTGGGATCTTAAGTGTAGAAGAAGGTGCAGAGAGTCCTGTGAGATTAGCATTGTTGCCTAATGGTGGTCCTTCTGGTCTCTTCTTTGATAGGAAAGAAGAGTCCGAATTTTAATTAAAGCTTGCCAAGATTTGGATTTCAATAGTTGAATGAGAATAATGACCTGTGACACGCTTTTTTTTCTATTTTGTGGAACATTTTTTATGGTTTCTAGTATATTTTTCGCATATATTTACGGTCGTTTTGGTGCTCGAATAAAGACACTCACAACATATGTTTTAGCGAAACAGTTTGTCAGATTTTGATTCTCTCAGCACTCTTTTATCACTTGGTAAAGCGTCTTGTTCGATAAAGATAATTTTTTTACGAAGGTTACTGGATTCTTTTGATGTTGGACTTCATTCCCATGGAAAGATTTTATTTTTCTTTGAATATTTGAATTTAGTTGAAAAAATACCAAAAGATAAACGACACTACCAGAGTTTTATTGATTTAAACCTGTAATATTCTCATAGAGAACCATATATATGTATACATCAGGAGACAATTATGAATTGATTAAAAGGATCTATCAAACCCTAACAACCCTAACCATCCAATAACAACATAACAGTTCACTAAGTGCAACACAACATAAAGCTAGCTACACTTCAATAAAACTATACTCATTGCATTAATATTTTTATTTTTGTACGAGCTTTCTATGATTATTGCCCTTATTTTTTTTTCTATGTTTGGTTATGTTGTACTTTTGATATCTTCTATTGTTTTTATTAATGAAATCCAGTTTTTATTGTTAAAAAATAATATAATTCGACATAGCTTAAAGGTTAAGCTACACTAATTGTGACTATAAAGTTTGGGTAAATTTATCGTTTCACCAGTTTTAATGCTCACTAATCACCATATTTCATCACTGAAACAATGCATTAGTGTTATTACTCCTCTAAGCGTATCTTAAAATTGTCACTATAAAAAGGAATAAATGCAAAAATAATGTGGAATATAAAAACATAATGGGTAAATTATATCAATGACCACTTAATTATTGTTCCTTTCACTTTTATCATTGATCTCTCAATTTTGTCAATCTGACCACCTAACTGTGTAACTGTATCAATCAAACTACTTGTCGTTAACATTTAACGGAGGTGGTGACGTAGTTGTTAAAAATTGTATAATTATACATTTGATCATTAATATTTATACATTATATCAAATTAGTCATAACATGTAAATATGACATGGCTAATTGAAAGATAAATTTACTAAATTGAATTAAAATTATGATTAAATTGATATAATATGTAAATATTGAAGATCAAATATATAATTATAGTAATTTTTTTAATAGTCATGTCACGACCTCTATTAAATGTTAACTACAAGTGACTTGATTGAATATAATTAAATAGTTAGATAATCTGATTGACAAAATTAAAAGATCGATGGTTAAAGTAAAAGGGGATAATAGTTAAGTAATCATTGGTATAGTTTATCCAAAACTAATTTGGAATACAACGTGCAATCTTGATCTGAAATCATGGTCATCGACTTTGTTTGAATACTGAATTAATTTACTGCATGACCATAGAGACATCATTTTTTATCGTTGGAAGAAAGAAGAATGAAAACAGACAAGTCTCCTTTATTAATTTTATCAGTTAAGATACACTAGCAAGTCTTGTATATGTATAAAATTCTTGTTAAGAGATAAAGTTTGAGTTTGAATCCTTACGTATACAATAATTATCTATCAAAACCAGATGTACAATCTGAGTCAATCCTAATTAGTTAAAATAAATCCTTGACAACTGAAAGTGCAACAAAAAAAAAAAATCTTGTAATTAGTTGACAATACCGCCGAACTAAAGGCATGTAGTAGTGATATAGCATTACATGTCATGTTACCATATTCTTATAATTGAAATACAATTCTCCAAATATCTATAGGCGTTTAGCCATCAACAATATTATTTTAAAGTCTTATGTTTTATTTAAAATTTAATTCATTTAGGTGGCGTTTGGTTCACAGGAATCCCTTGGAATTAGGGTGAATTGGAATCTAATTCCACCACTTTCCCATGTTTGGTTTAAGTTTTCAAAGGAAATTGGAATCCTAATTGACTTCAACTTTCCATCAAAGGGGGAAAGTAAATTCCATCCATAAAATGAGGGAATTAAAATCCTTTTGAGGATGAAATGTGAAATTTGACCATACTACCCTCATTAATAAAAATATTATAAATTATATTAATTATTTATTAAAGTAATATTGTTATGTTATATTATTAGAAATATTAATAAATATATTTTAAATATTTTAATAATTAATATTTTGATTAAAACGATATTAAAATATTTTATTAATATTAAATTTATAAAATAAAATTATTTTGAGTATTTATTCTTTGAAGTGAAAAGTTCGGAAAATGACTTACGGAAAATCAGACTGTAAGTCATTTTGGTATATTTTTTGGTTACTAATTGACATACTTCGATTGGGATGTATCGAAATATTGCTCTATCTTTTGGTAACTTATTAACATATTTTGATTGGGATGATTTTAACTTATGATGTTTATTAGCATGATTTTTATAATTTATTGAAATGAATAATCAATCAATAAAATGAAAATTTAATATTTTTTAAATTTTTATAATATATTGCTACATGTAAGTTATAAAACAAACTAAAATTAAGCAAAAAAAAAACAAGAAGTGTAATTCTGTCATTTTACATTACTGAAATCAAATTCATCTGACATGTCTGAGAACCAAACAAAATATGGAATTGGATTCCAATTCAATTTTCTGCCAACCAAACAAGTTTCAGATTCAGATTCCAATTCCTAACATATTCCAATTCCCTCAGAAACATTCCAACGAACCAAACGCCACCTTAAGATATTTGATAAATAAGAACTACGAAAAAATACATTATCACATAAATCCAAATAATACAAAATGTTACTGTTAGTGATTTCATAAATTTAAAACAAACAATAGCGAAAAACAATATTTTGAAACATGCACCAAAGACATATATGTATGTATGTATGTATGCATGTATATTATATTATATAACCTCTTTCAAACACGTCTAGAGAAAAGCTATCATAGGCTCGCTCATCCTTTTTTTTGTCTTGTTTTTTTTGGCTTGTTGATTATAGACGACACAAATTTTAATATTAGTTGTCAATCGTCGATATTTTTAATTGTTTTTATTCTTATAACACATATTTATTTTCTTTTATTTTTTTATTTTCAATAAGTTTGTCTGTGTAGACACCTGTTTTGTCTGGGTTTTTATATTATTATTATTATTATTTACAGGACCCAACACAACAAAACCTAAATGGACCCGAAGTACAACTCAAGCAACCCAACCGGCCTGGTACTCGAAGCCCAACTGGTCCAAGCCCAAACCTAGACTCAATGCACTAACCCTAATTAGTTAGGGTTACCACTAGAGCCAAGAACTCCCACCACTGTTGCCACTTCTGCCGTCCCTTCGGCCACTCGACTGTCGCCGTTTCAACTGCCAATGTCATCATCTCTCTGCCAAGGTTCACCAAGCACACAATAAGGCGAAAAAGAAGAAAACAAATAACAAAACAACAAAAATGGAAATCATTTCCCTTACCTGTCAACCCTCACCCGTGATTCGGCCGAACCCGTGATGATAACCTCTACAAAACCTCAATCATTTCTCCTTTATCAACAAAGAGTAGTATTAGAACCAACAACACAACAACAACCAACAAAAAAAAAGAGCCATTCATACTCTCGAGAAACAAAACCAAAACGAAAAGAGAGAGGATGGCCCTTTTACTTTTTTGAAACCAACAAAAACAACAACTGAAAAATCAAAAGGAGCATCTTCTCCTTATGAGTGAACCGTATATCCAAAAAAGAAAAGGAAAGACATTAAGAGGAAAGATACTTACCTTCCCCATCAGAAAAGGAACCTCCCCATCCTTGGGAGCCAAAATAGCGTCAAGCCATTGAAGGTAACATTTCTGTTGGGCTCATTCGGGGTTAACGAGGAGCTTTAATAAGGGGGTTTCTGGGTTAATTCGGGTTTTGAAGCGTCTGGTCACCATTCGGTGGCCTTTCTCGCCCCTTATCGAGGCTGAAAATGGTGGCCACGGCGGCCATGGAATTTGAGAAAAGGAATGAAAGAAAATTGAAAGAAAAAAAGAAAAGAAAAGTGAAGTAGAGAGAGGGAGAACGTCGTCGAAAAGAGAGGGGAAATAAAAATGAGATTAGGTTTTCCCCAAAACCTATAATGAGGTATTTAAAGGCTATCCAAAATAGCGTCGTTTTAAGGTCTTAAGGTTTTCATAAACCAACGCTTGGGTTATTTATGCGAGAAGGGTCTTGGGCATTGTAATGTTTTATTTTACTCACTAAATTCAACTTTTCGTTTTTTTTTATTTTGAGCTCCTTATTTTCTGCATGTTTTATTTTATCCATGTTTCGTGATTTATGAGGTTTATGATTTTGTCTTCTAATTTTACTCATGTTCTATTTTGGTCCTTGGGCTTATTTGTTTCAAGCTTAGGCTTGTTTATACATTGGACATGTTACTTTCATATTTTATATTTTAATCCTTGCTTATTTCATATACTATTATGGGATGATATGGTTTATTAGCATGCTTAGTTCTTTTGCCATTTTACAATTTAATCCTCATTTCAAATGATTCAAATGTGTTTTAATCCCTATACGTTTGATTGTTTTATTTTATTATATATATATATATATATTATTGTATAAATGTATTTATTTTATTTATTGTATTATTCTTAACTACTATATATATGTGTGTGTTTTATACTTTATAGAGGTAATATAATTATTTTTTATTCTAAGTTAATAATATATATACATATATAAATAGATATAAAAACATATAATTTTTCTCATGTCACTTTTTATGAATTTTCAATTTATGCATATACGCTATATTATGAATATTTGCTTATTAATTGTATTATATTTTGATAAATAATATTATATATATATATATATATATATATTATATATATTATTTTACTATTTAATGTATGCTATGTATGTAAGTGTATTATTTGATGCATATCGGTTTAAGTTATATTTTATTGCACAAAAAATATATGAAACC